GACTTTTTGTGAGAAAAAGAATGTAATAATTATAAATTAGATGTAATATTTTGTCTTATTAAGTTAAAAAGTTTATTTTGTTTTTTATAACTATTTTAGCCAAGAAATCCTCAAACTCAACTTCCCAAACATAGGCAAATTATATTTCTGTTTGTGGAAAACACAAACAAAAATATCTATATCTATATCTATATCTAATATCTAAATGAAATCTTGTTTCTTAAATAAAATCAATAAATACTTTGATTGATTAATGATGTTAGAGATACTTGTAACAATGTCTTAAATTTGTCGAGATATGAAGGAGCAATCAAAGAATATTGATAGTTGTCAATAGAAACTTCAATTATTTTTCCTTTTTATTATATTATAAACGAAGATCAGATCTTTAGGCTTTGTGTTCAGGGTCAGGTGTAATCAATGTGACTTTCCCATGAGGGTTTAGAGAGTATGAACTGTTGGATTGGGCTGGACAGAGATCTATTGGGCTTTACTGGGACGTGTTTGGTAAATTGTGAAATGTTGCCGTTGCCGCTCTTGCTGTCCTCTGTGTATACCAAACAAAGGTGAAAAATGGTGACGTGGACAAGGACAGCTGGCCCCTAGGACGCCATTGTCATTTTGAGAGAAGACGAGGACAGTTGGTTCTCTTTCTCCTTCTACAAAGCTCCTCCTATTTTCTGTTTTAACTGGTTTTGACTTTTTCTGAATTTTCAATTTCAATTTTGAGAAAATTTAAAGGATCATGGATTTCACTACCAGTTCATTTTCGATGAAAAAATTAGATCGATTTGGTAATTATAATTTTTTTATTTTATCGCGTGTCCTTAAAAACATAGGGGCAAGTATATTTTTAAAAAGTCTAATCATTTTTTTTAAAATAAATATTATAAAATAAAAAAATTACGATTATTAAAGTTTTGTTTGGTTTTAGATTTTTGGTTAAAAAAGTACAAAATTAGCTACATAAGCTAATAAGATAAAATATCACATGTAAATCATAATCATTATATTTTTTTCTCACAAAAATTAAAAAAGCCAAACCAAGCGAGACTAAAAAACCCCCCAACACAAAAAACAAGCGGCTAAAAAAACTAATGCCAAACGAAAACTAATTTGACTTAGTTTTTATAGAGAGTTCTACAAGACAAACAGTTTAAATTATCAAAACAATACTAGTGGATCATCAATTTAGCTTTAAAATTATTATTTTTATTTTAATTCATATGATTCAATTGTAAACAGTTAATTCAAATAATTAACTATAGAAACATAGGGTAAAAAAATAATTTTATAAATTATACAATGTGAAATACATTTTCTAAGAATATCTCCAATGTTTATTCAAAATTTTTATAAATTTGAGTAAAAATTTAATTTGATTTGCTGAGCTCTAATCATTTCATCAAATTTGGCCAATCATCCAGCCTAAAGCAAATTTCAGTAAAATTTGGGTCATCTATCCGGTTGACCGGCCGATCGTCCACTAATAGTCGCCTACAAAATTTGATGAAATATTAAATATTTCTTTAATTTGATAAAAATTCTGGCATTTCCTTCATTTGATATGAATTTGATTTCATGATTGAAGTAGAAGAAAAAACAAGTTACGTTTCACCAAATTTAAATTTAATAAACAGTTGAATAAACTTCAGAAGTACTCAAAGGCATATTTTCGTACTTGCATTATACAACCACTTATTCATTTCTTATACACCCATTATCTCAAAATAGTGAATAAAAAAATGGTAATGCCCATCGAGAGCCCTAAGTTATCAATAAAAGATATAAAATGTCAAAAGTTTAAAATTTTAATACAACTTTACACATTTCAAAAATCTTCACATATCTTTCGATATTATTAATAGTCCACACGGTTGTAATTTGCATTTACGAATACCTCCAATTCTTATTCTGTCCCCTTTCGCCTCTTCTTCTTCTTTTATCATATCGAACACTCCCAATTCTATTTTTAAAATCAACTTTTGTTTGAAAAAAGTTCAAACTTATCTTAAAAATCCATTTAATTAATTTTATTAAATAATCCCATACCCAATCCTTATTCTTTATTAAATTTTGAGTGAAAATACGATTGTTAAAAAAATGGCAAAAGATTTGGTTTATTATTGATTTACACTCCGTTTGTTTAGACAGAAAATATTTTCTAATATTTTTTTTTATTGATTTATATTTTTTTTATTTTTTTTTTCAAATTTCATAGAGAAAACAATTAGTGATGGTGTGGAATGAAGGTGGTGGTTGAGGTGGTGGCATGGTGATGACGATGATAGCGGCGGTGATGGTGGTAGTGGCTGTGGTGAGAATGGCATGGTGGTGGAGGTGAGAGTGGTAATTGTGGTGGTAGTGTAGTGACATTGGTAAAAACTTTATTCCAAAAATATTTTTTACATTTTAAAAGTGAAAAACATTTTACGTCTATTGTTTTTTGTTGACTTTTGTTTTCCGTCCATGTTAGTGGAAAAATTGGCTTTCTCTTAATTTGATACAAATTTTAATTTGAGGATAAAATTGATGGATAATTGGAGATAGAAAACAATTGGTGATGGTGTGGAATGAAGGTGGTGGTTGAGGTGGTGCCATGGTGATGACGACGATAGCGGCGGTGATGGTGGTAATGGCTGTGGTGAGAATGGCATGGTGGTGGAGGTGAGAGTGGTAGTTGTGGTGGTAGTGTAGTGACATTGGTAAAAACTTTATTCCAAAAATATTTTCTACATTTTAAAAGTGAAAAACATTTTACGTCTATTGTTTTTTGTTGACTTTTGTTTTCCGTCCATGTTAGTGGAAAAATTGGCTTTCTCTTAATTTGATACAAATTTTAATTTGAGGATAAAATTGATGGATAATTGGAGATGCTATAATTAGATTACAGCTAACGTTTTTAGAAAGGCCTTCTTGGCAACATCATAAACAAGTTATTTATTGGCTTATTAGTTTATTTGGATTATATCGGGTTTGTTTGGTTTGTGTTTGTAGAGTAGTTTTTGAGATAAAAAGTACGAAAACTTGTTTGGTTTGTCTTTTTTCAGAAATGGTCTTGGAAAATTGTTTTGGGGAGAAAGTTTTAAAAAAAGTGATTGATTTGATGTGTATGAAAGAGAAGTGGGTTTGCTGTGCGGTTATTTGGGCTCATTTAGGGATCCATTTTGATAATCTGAACCGTTCACATTTTAGAATACGACAAGTAGAACATGCCTGCAAAAAATCAAGTTAGTCGGATATCGTTTACCTATTCATCCACTCACATTTGTATTCATTTTAATTAAGTTAAAATAATTTTTATAGATACAAATGTGATGGATGAATGGGTAAACGATATCCGATTAACTTAATTTTTTGCAGTCATGTTCTACTTAACGTATTCTAAAATGTGAACGGTTCAGATTATCAAAATGGGCCCAAATCGCAGCACAACAGACGCTGCTGTGCGGGCTGCGCAGCAGCGTCCCCACTTCCGTATGAGAGAGAGAGTGATTTTGGAAAGAAACAAACCAAACAAAATTTTGAGGCCTTGTTTGGTTAGTTTTTCAGGAAAATTTTTGAAAAAAATTCTTCACAAACAAATTTTCAAGAGTAATTAAATCAAATAAATTTTTCCAAAAAAAATTTCAAAATTTTGTTTGGTTATCTACTTTCCAAAATCACTCTATCTCTCATACACATCAAATCAATAACTTTTTTTAAAACTCTCTTCCCAAAACAATTTTCTAAAACCATTTCTGAAAAAAGGCAAACCAAACAAGTTTTCGTACTTTTTATCTCAAAAATTACTCTACAAACACAAACCAAACACACCCTGAAATTTTTTTAAAAAAAATTTGTTTGGTTTGATTACTCTTGAAAATTTGTTTGTAGAGAATTTTTCCCTAAAACAAACCAAATTTGGCTTTGTAGAGTGATTTTGGGAAAAAATTTCTAAAAAACTTGTTTGGTTTGTAATTTTTTCAAAACAATTTTCAAAATCACTTTCTCTCTCTTACACATCAATCAATCACTTTTTGTCTCTCCTCCTCGATCACTTTTTCTCTCACACACATGTACTCAATTATAACAAAATATCAAATCATTCCAAATATCAAAACTACTTTCAAAATACACAACCAAACAAACCAAAAAAATTTATAAACTCTTTCCGGAAAACAATTTTTAAAAATTTCTCTCTCAGAGCCAAACCAAATATACCCTTTATTTTTTAACACTTGTTTTTGTAATAAATAAAAAAATCAGCTTATAAACCATATCTAAAATAAGTAAAATTATGCATTTAAGAATTAAGAAAACAAATCTTGATAATTTATGAGATAAGATGAAATTAAACCTTACAATTACAAATTGTTTTTTTGGAAGGACGGAAGAAAAGTACATTATTTTTTGAGTGCATATGTATTAAGTTTAATGATTGATTTATTTTTTGTTATAAAAAGAAAGAAACTGAAATATATTGATGAAAAATGTAAATTATTATTTTAAATAACATTTTATTTTTTTTATTATTCTCACACATTAAGGGTTGATTTGAAATGTTATAAAAAAGTGTATTTTTTAATTTATTGACTTATATGAGTTGGGTTTGGATTAAGTTTGATATGATGTGTTAGAGAGGTGATGTAATTTAAATAAGATGATGCAATTTAAATAAGACAGTAACTTTTTAACTTTTTATATTATTTAATTTATGTCAAATCAATCCTAATATCAATTGATGGTGGTTGCCACCCACCGACGATTGACGATCGTCGCGGTGATCATATAAGCAATTATGTGCATAAATATATAAATATATAAATAAATCAATAAATAAATATATATAATATAATTTTTGAAATTATTGTTATTATTTTGAACAAATAGAAATAAAATTTAAACAATTGTGCCAACAAATTTATTTTTGAAATTATAATATAATTATCAACCTTTTTTTAAATTTTTTTATCAACATTCTGATATTTATGTATAACTTTATCATTATTATTCGATACTTGCTCGTGGATTTCTATGGTGGAAAAAACGCAAAAGCTTAAAAAATAACAAAAGAAAGTACCCTTTTCTCTCTCTCTTTACTTGTGCAGTGCCTCTGCTTCTGCGCTTCTGCTGCTTCACCTTCTGCAAGAAAGAGAGAGAGAGAGACTGCAGCGCACGTCGGCGCAGAGTAGCGTCACACCCCGCTTTTCCTTTCTGGTTCGGTTTATTGATTCTTCTCTCTCTACTACTTTCTCTCTCATCGAAGGTCGCTTTGTTCCCACGGCATTCGATTAGAGAGAGAGAGAGAGATTGAGAGGGAGAGAAAAGGAAAGGACGATTGGATTCAAGCAATCTCTCTCTGACTCTGGAAGGAACCCTAACGTTCCTCATCATCTCTTCGATATCTTCTTGTTTAGCAGATCGATTTGATTTTAATCCAAAAAGAAGGAGAAAAGAAGAGAAGAGGATTTTAGTGTGTGATAATGTTTTGGATTATGAGATTGTCGTGGTTTTTCTCCGCGGCAATGGTGATGATCGTTCTTTCTCCATCTCTGCAATCATTTCCACCGGCAGAAGCCATTAGATCTTCTAATCTTGATGGCTACCTTCGATTTCCAGGCCAGATTACAGCAACCGATTCGCTCAATCGATTCTCATTCAGGAAAGCATCTACATTCCGCAATGCCGAAGAATGCAGTTCAAATGAGAGGAAAACATTGGGGAAAACTGGCGTCTGCGATCCCTCTCTCGTTCACGTCGCGATTACTCTCGATGTCGACTACCTTCGCGGTTCCATCGCCGCCGTCCATTCGATTCTTCAACATTCGTTGTGTCCAGAGAGCGTATTCTTTCATTTTCTTGTCTCGGAGATCAATCTCGAAACCCTAGTCCGATCCACTTTCCCTCAGTTGAAGTTCAAGGTGTATTACTTTGATCCGGAGATTGTGCGGGGCCTGATCTCGACTTCGGTTCGGCAAGCACTAGAACAGCCGCTTAATTACGCGAGGAATTACTTGGCCGATCTACTCGAGCCCTGTGTTCGAAGAGTGATATACTTGGACTCTGATCTCGTAGTCGTCGATGATATCTGGAAGTTATGGAGTACAAGTTTAGGGAGTAAGACGATTGGAGCGCCGGAATACTGCCATGCGAACTTCACAAAGTATTTCACGGCGAGTTTTTGGTCGGACAAGCGGCTTTCCGGCACGTTCGTCGGCCGGAAACCTTGTTACTTCAACACCGGCGTGATGGTGATAGATCTGGCGAAGTGGAGGCGGTTCGGGTACACGAAGCGGATCGAGAGGTGGATGGAGATCCAGAAGAGTGGTCGGATCTACGAGCTCGTCGCTCCCTCCGTTCCTGTTGGTATTCGCCGGACACGTGGCGCCCATCGAGCACCGGTGGAATCAACACGGATTGGGAGGAGATAACATCAGAGGGAGCTGCCGTGATCTACACCCTGGTCCGGTGAGCCTGCTACACTGGAGCGGGAGTGGCAAGGCTTGGCTGAGACTCGATTCCAAACAACCATGCCCCCTCGATGCTCTCTGGGCACCATACGATTTGTACGGACATTCAACTTGAAATTGCCCCACGGGACTCCTCGCCGGTAAATTCCTCTCGTGACTCTTTTTTGGTCTCTTCATCATCATTTTCCAATTTTTTTTTCTGGTGTTTAATTTGTCTTTCTATTTTTTTTTTATTTTTTTACTTCTTATAACTCACCATCATCATCATCTCAGGCGATTTGTACTCTATTCTATTATTCCTGCTTTTGAAAATAAAAAGGAAATGGGGTTGGTTATTCGATTCAAATTTGTTGCCATTTTGTTACTGTTTTTGAGTTTTGTCTGTCTGGTAAATCCTTACATTTTGCGATTAGGGTAGTAGAGTAGTCTGCGTAGAACATAGATGAAGAACCGACATCAGGGGAAGGGATAAGAAAGCATTGAGTAGGGGAAATGGGAAGCGATAGTGTTGAAATGACGAAATTGCTCTTTGCTCAACCCTATTAAATTACTGTAAATGATAACAATAATAGGTGCCATGCCAGTTCAATTATTTTCCTATTTGTCAAGTTGGGTTTCGATTTTTTTATTTTTGGCTAAAATTTACAAAAGATAAAATAGATTAAAATAATAAATAAAATAAAATATCACATTAAATTTATAATTATTTTACACAAATATTAGGTCTTGTTTGGAACAGACTTTTTTAGTAATTTTTTGGCTTTTTGACTAAAATGTGATGTTAAAAAAAACTAGTATGTTTCAGATGACTTTTTAGTTTTTTACGAAAAAATGTGTAAAAAATAGAAAGAAAAGAGAATCTTTAACTTTTTGGTATGAGTTGTTGACTTTTTGATTTTTTTAGTGACTTTTTGACTTTTTGGCTAAAAGGAACACTTGCCAAATGAAGGCTTAATTATAAAACAATTCAATCATCTTTCCAAACACAACAATTTTAGCATATTAAGTTAGTCAAAGTGGTCTAGAGAACTCCTCTCATACACTAATATCTAAGTACCTTGTAATTAAAAAAAAAATGACATAATTTTATATTTTGAGTCAACTAAAAAAAACAGTTATAATCAAACAACATATGAGACATAATGAAAGATTTCATGAGTCATAATTAGAGAAAAAATTAGTCATAATTAAAAAGAAATAACATAACTTAAAGATGTATATGATGGGGTGTATATAATAGAGTTTTCTTAATATATAATCATCATATATAATTGGGCAAAGGGCACGTTTCCATAAAAAAAATGTGTACCATCGGTAAGTTACGACATTTGTAGGATTGATTATTATAAATGTAATAGTTCAATCTTATAAGAGTCATAACTAACCAAACACCGAATAAAGTAATAACTAAAGAGTTTTTGGATCATAATTGGAATAATAATTAATACTACAATAACTAAACCTATCTTCAATGCTGCATCTAATATTTCATCAAATTTAAATTTGATTAAAAATGACAACTGTTTAACTCTAATCCTTCCATCAAACTCATATCAAATGAGGGATGAACTAAAACTTTCATCAAATGAAGGAGTCTTTATCTTTTATCAAATTTAAATTGTTACCGTTGGGCGGGACATTCTCCCGAATGTCCACCCAAGAGCTACTTTGATAGTTTTTTTTGTTCATTTTCGGACGACTTTCAAGACATCCGCTTGGTGATCCTCCCGAACAACCGAACATGTGAAAAAATTTGAAGAAAATTCTAGTCTTATTAGTATTGGAGTAAACAATATCAAATCAAACAAATCATTAAATTTTGCTCTAACACCCAATAGGTCATAATTAAAACCAGAAAGATCATAACTAGTATGAATGTGGTACACACCCCCATAGAATTTCTCTTAGGCAAATTTTACTTTGCTCCTTGTGCTTTTACCCATGTGTGGATTACCCTCCTCTCGTTTAGAAATAATAACATAACTCATTTGTGATTTGTGGACTGAAATATATCATTAAACACGTCAAACTTAACAGCAAGTGTGAAATACGTGCCAAACATAAGGATTATGCTCATTTTTAAATTTTAAGGAGATAAATCGCATATAGATTAAAAGCACTGGAGTTAAAGTGTGTTTTGCCTTTCAAACAAATGATAAAAATATCCGTAATTTATACACTTAGATTACTTATATGCAAGGTATTGTAGTCTTTTTCACGTCCTAATGGTGAACTTTAATTTACAAAACAGAAGGAGTTATGTAATTATTTTCAAATGAGAGATAATCTGAACATAGGCTAGATTATAAGGGATTAAAATAAAATATGTCTTACATAATTTGACACGAAGGCAAGAAAAAATATGTATTTAAAAAGATTTTATTGGGACTTATTTATAGTATATGTTTTGATGTTATTTTTGGATAAAAATTCATGTTGTAGTGTATTATTTTTCAAAATTTTTGTTAGTGTGTATATTTGTTTCACAAAGTTGGAATCCTGAGTCTATTTCTATGATTTTACATCGAGTTTTGCTACATCTCTCTATTTCATCGTCTCCAATTACACCTTTAATGGCGTGGCAAATAATTTTAAAAAGAGAGAGAAGAGTTTGAATGAAGTTAATTGATTGGTATCATTTATCACCTAATTAGAGATGAAATAGGAGATGAAACATTTCTCTTTCAGATTTTATTATAAAAAGTGTTTTTGTAAAAAAACATACAATAATTTTAATTTTTTGAGTCAATATTTTTAAAACACCCATTAAAAGGGCATTTTATCTTTCGGAAAATACTATATGAAGTAACAAATTTAACAATTTTGTACAAATTAATGTGGCATGTAATAAAAAATCTGTAAAATCTGAAACATGATCTGTTCAATAAATGTTTGGTGTGGCATTAATATAAAAAAATGTAAAATATCTTAGTCTACTAGTTGTATTCATTTTGTGTTTTTGTTAATTTATTATTATTTTATTTTCTTTCAAAAGCAATTATTATTAGTTTATTCTTTTCTTTTCTTTTCTTTTTATTAGGGATGGATTTATTTTGTAGTTGCTATTAATTTATTTAGGGAAATAGTTTAATAGTTGGTGGTCTGTAATGTGGAGGACGTTGTAATTTGATGAATTATTAGTTTATTCTTTTTTATATGGGGGATGAAAATATTATTTATTATTATTATTATTTTGGAAGTGTTGGGGGGAGATAGTGCAGTACATTTGAGGGCTATTTTGAAAAGTTGATTAAAAATTGTCTTTTAATTTTTAAATTATTTTAGTTCATATCATTTTTTGTTTTTTTTTAAAAAGTTAAAAAATTAATTTTTAATCAATTTTTTAAAATAATTCCAAATGTAGCACAGTAGGTGATGGTAGGTGGGAGGGGCAAATGTTGTTTATGAGGAGAGAAGAGGAGTAACGGTTGGGAGCGTGTTGTGAAGGTATTCTGTCGCATTTTAATTATCTTTTTATTGTCCTTTTGCCTTTTTGCGGTATCCCAAAAAAAATTAAAATAAAATATTATTTTATCATCTTATTGTTTATAAGTTTTCTTTATTTATTTTAGGAGAGCATTTTAGTTTGCGTTTGATTGAGTTTTGTAAATATGATTTGAGAGTATGAATTATATTTTGAGTTTATATTGTAAAATTAAGATTTGAGTGTAGAAAATTTGTTTGGTAAAAAAAAATAAATAAATAAATCTGTACAGCGGAGGACATCCGGGTGGATGTCCCTAAGCACGTCTGGGCGGATGACCCAGAGGACATTCGGGCGGTCTTTCCCGGAGCAAAATTTTCACAAAAGCAGCGGCTGATGCACAGAGCTCTCTGCAGAGCTCGTGAAAATTGATTCCAAAACAACAATCAAACATCATACTCAAACGCACGTGTAGAAACACGTTTACAAATCACAACCAAGCAGAGCCTTAGATTTTTGTTTGCAACTTCTGGTTATAATTTATTAGATAAAAAATTAAAAAATTAATTATATGAAAATTGAGTAGGGAGTGCTTTTGTTTTTTTTATATTTTAATATCAATTTTTAATTTACAAAATATTATACTAAATAAATAGAATAAACCTTTTGCAGTGAAGGGTTTTATATTGTAATTTGCAAAATTAACGAGTACACGGGACTGTTTCATGAAGCGCTGTTGAGTGTGCTTTGGTGGTGGCAGTCGGGTGGAAGTCTCGTGAACTACCTCCCCCCCTTTTTCTATCCAACTCTGGTGTTGAACGCCACTTGTATTCGGTTTGCTCCGTAAATAAATCAAATTTGAATATATTTTAAAATTTGTTAAGTTTTTAGATCAAATTTAAATAATTTACTATTCAACTTAGTCTTTGTTTGACATTGGCTTTTTTATTTGACTTTTTTGTGTTTTGACTTTTTTAGCCTCGTTCGGTTTGGTTTGGTTTTTTTTTACTTTTGTAAAAGAAAAAATATAATGATTATGGTTTGGATATGATATTTTATCTTATTAACTTATATAGTCAATTTTGTCTTTTTGTACTTATATAGCCAAAAATCCATTGCCAAACATAGCCTTAATAAACATATATATGTCTAATAAAAAGTTAAATTACTCAAACTTGATTAGAGTTCAAATGCTCATAAAAAAATTATTAGAGATTGGCTTATTATATAAATAAGTCAAAATTAACACATTTTGAAACTATTTAAATTTTAAAATCAAATGACTTATTGTTCAAATTGACTCAATTATTTGCATTCCCACCATAATGTAATTTACCTAAATATTTTGTAAGGGAAATTTTTTATTTATTCTTTCTTTTGCAACAGCTATTTGATTGGTTCAAAATTTTGATTTTGAAATTAAAAAAAGGTATTATCATCGTCTAAATTGATAGATAGACTATATAATTTTAGACTCATCAAAAAATATATACATATATATATATATATATATTGTTGGTATATTTTGTCGGGGGTTAAACACAGAAAGTGATTGAGCAAGGGAGTCGTCATTGTTGCGTGTTGTGAAAGTAGGGATGGATGGGGATGATGAATCAAGATTCCCTCCTCGAGTTCTCCTCTTCACTTCTTACTTGCAAAGTTATTGGGTTTACTTTTGGATTCAATTTTGATGATCTGAACCGTGTACATTTTAAGATTTATTGAGTATATCATATGTGTAAAAAATCAAATTGATCGGATATCAAAAACTTCATGTTCAGATCTTCAAACTAAAAATTATTTTTTTAAAAAAATTGATAAATAGTTTTCCGAACACATGTTTTCTTATATTCGATCAACTTGATTTTTTACAGTTATGATATATTCAATAAATCTTAAAAAATGAACGGTTCGAATTATTA